ATTTAGTATGTGGAGAGACGCATTGGCACAAGCTAGTACTAATCTTCGAAGTGGGGAAAATTACGCGGATCAGGTAACAATATATTATTTATATGTTTGTACTATACCCAAATTACTTTATAATTATTTGTTTGTATTATTTATTTGTTACCTACTTTCATTATAATTATTTCTTATCCCGCATTGTGTAGCAACTTCAAGCACAAGCTTGGTATGGTGCCAAAACCAAAAGCAAAAATAAATCATTCAACCGGTGGGAATGTTGGAATATTGTCAAAGATTGTCCTAAATTCAAAGTTGTGCCTGTCAGTCCAGAAGTTTTCATGAACAACATCCCTCTACAATCTACACCCAATTATGCCTCGCATGTTCATGAAGATGAAGCAGAAGAAGTGCCCAAAACGCCCCCCCCTGAACAAGCGTCAGGATCGACCCGTTATCCAATTAGGCCTCAAGGTAAGAAGGCTTCAAAGAGAAAAGGGAGTTAAGAAGGCTTCAAAGAGAAAAGGGAGTGCTTCCAAGAATGATTATGCAAAGTATATGGAAGAACTTGCTCGCCCAGGTGAATTGACTTTGGCGCGAGAAATGACGAAATTTGAGGCTGATAAGGTTAGAGATAAAGCAAAAGATGCAGTTGTTGAGAAAGCATTTCAAGCTAATGAGAGAGAGAGAAAGAGAGCTACTTAGGCAAGAAAGGGAACAGGTTAGAGAAGAAAGAATGGCTCAACGAGATCGTGACATTAAGAACACACCTTTAGAAGGGAAGTCTCCAAATTCTAAATATTTTTAAAAGTCGGAGAAAGCGGAAATGGTGCGAAGGAGGCGTGCAAGAGAAGCGAGAACAAGAGAAGATCATCCTAGCACAACAAATTGTTTAAGTGATGATGAATAGAGTACTTTTTGTAATCGGAGCCCATAATTTTCCAATCACTTTGGGTTGTAATTTCTTATTTATTGAATAGAGTACTTTATGTTGTTTCCAATTTATTGATTTTAGCACTTTATTTAAACTAAGAGTCTATTTATTTAATTTGGTAATTTATTTATAATAAGAGAATCTTTATTCGAAAGACATTTAAACACACCAATAGTTGTCTTTTGGGAAATCCATCACCAATAATTGTCTTTTCGGATTTTATGACATGTAGCGCAACGACAATGATTAAAAATCTTATCCGAAATTACAAATAAAATTATTTTGTATTATTTTATAATTTTTCGGATAATAGCACGTGGCGCAACGAGAACGATTAAAAATCTTATCCGAAATTACAAATAAAATTATTTTGTATTATTTTATAAATAAAAGAAATACTAATATTTTCTTGCCTATTGTCAGGGCTATTGAAGTGCAACGGTGGAGATGCAAAAGACGATTATTGTTCATTAAAAGCAGTTACTGTTCACTGGGTGGATAACATAGTGTATTGCCTGGGGGGGGATCCCACAATGAAAGTGCTCTTAGTGTATTGGTGAATAGATTGTGTCATGTGGCACAATCTATTCAGTGACCAGATTTTGCCATGTGAAAAAGACGAAATTTTTTTTTTAAATTTATAAAGCCAAAAAATGAATTTATGGTCGATCGATCACATGACCGTAACAATCAGAAATCTCCCACATTTTAAAGAATATGCAGCATGGGTCTGCCTCCTTGATTTTGTTGGATGACTCGCGTGTGCGCAAGCACAAAAAAATTATAACGTGAGTAACATCAAACTGCCTTAGGCATTGGGTTGGGCAATTTTGGCTTGAGTGAGTAGTCGTGCCTCTTGCTTTTCACTATAGTCCGACTTGTTTGGACTGGCTGGAGCAACTTTTTTTGAGGTAGAGGGATTGAATCACCAATTGCAAGAGGGATTAGAAGGGTGGAGTTGCTCTTTAACTTTCACTTGATAACCAAATAGAGATTAAGGATAGAAGAAGGATGGGTGCATATAATGGTTTACAAAATGGAATGAAAAGCTAAAGCTTGAAACAAGTTTAACTTAACCACCACGGGGTGGCCCAATGGTGATGACGTATTCCCGGTCCGTATTTCACACGGTACGTCTTGAGTTTGATTCATGGCGTTGCTGAATCGCACGATGGTGCCTATGAGGAGGCTGAAATGCCTCTGTGAGTTTTTTCAGGCCCCAAAAGGATGGATTGCCATGGTGAATCCACCAACTGAACAAGTTTAAATTGTTTTCACCTTCAAATTGTTGTTTAATACATTCTTATAGTTTGCCTTCCAATTTCTGCTTTCCCTTTTCTCTCCTTATATTTTCCTTTATTTTTAGTGGGGAAATTTTATTTGAACTCGATCATATAACCTCTTTCTACACCCAACTTAAATTTTAATTGTGAATTTTTTTTACCCTATTCCATAATTACCACCAAGTACAAGATGAAATTAACAATAAAATCAAAATGTATCAATAAACGCACATCCCAATAATCAAACTCTATTATCACGTGGTTCGGTATGGGATACCATACCGAAACTAGTATCCCGAATCCCAAACCGAAAATTTTCGGGACGGGAATTTGAAGACCAATCCCAAACCAAATTTTCGGGAATCCCAAATTTCGGGAATCCCGAAATATTTTCGGGATTTTGGGACAAATCGGGAATCCCAAATTGAAATATGAAATTATGAATTGTTCTTCAAATATATAATTCAAGAACACATTCATGAACTAGGAATTTCATTTCATTCACACTACCATTTAATTGAACACTAGCATGCTTGACTATTTTTATCATAGTCAAAATTCAAATTAATTAAACCCTTTTTGCAATCTGTTGAGAGACAAAAGAATCAAGCATTCTGAAATCATCAGCCCTAGTAGCAGCAATAATAATATCCACATGAATATCAAACAGAATATGAAAAATATGCAAGGTGTAGGGCATTTCAGGTTGCCGAGTATGAATTAGAAACTACTAGCATCAATTATAAAAGAATAATATATATATGTATAAATATATATATATATATATCTATATATAAAATAATAATTAATATTATATATTTTCGGTTTGGTATGGGATTCCCGAAATATCGAGAAGCCAATCCCGAATCCCATACCGAAATTTTGGGATTGGTTTGGGATGGCATCCCGAAAATTTCGGGAATTTCGGTTTGGGAAATTTTTGGTTTGGGATCGGGATTTTTTCGGTTCGGTTCGGGATTTTCGGGAATTTTTTCCACCCCTAATTTTCATCATGCAATTAATCAACATTTATCTGAGCCATTTATTCGTAAGAAATCATCATTATGTGTTGTCTGCACTAAAAATAGCAATAACATCTTTTAGAAAAATCGGAATCATGAACTGTAAAATTCTTCATAAACTAGACATCCAAAACTTTCCAAGCATATAAGGCTCAATATCTATTTCATCTTGAGGAAGTATAGCTTAATCTTCAAACTTGACAAAAGAAGAATTCCAATAGAAGTCAAACGCCTTGGATAAATAGCAAACAGAGGAGCCATGACCTTGAATGTCATGGTGAGGAAAGGAGATGTCAAGTATTCTCTTTGTCTGGTGATGAGACCCCATTGTCGATTTGTAGAAGCATTGATCATATGTTGTGAATAATATTGCATGAGTTCTTATTCTTCAAATTGATGCACCAATATCTACTTTTGGTAATGCAGACTATTTAAGGGGAAGGTAATAAAATACAAGTTAGATATCGATATATGAAAACAACGTAGTCAACGGGATAAAGATTTAATCCATGCTCAAAATCTGGTTCACAGGATCTCAAAGTGGTACATGAGGAGGAAGATAAAATAAAATCTTCTAGAGAAACAAGCTTACACTATGTTATAATACATATTGGCAGTAAGTGATGAATCTGCAACGGCACAAATTAAACTTTTACGATATCTGCCATTAAGCTTTACTACGAGTCTAATGCTAAAATTAAAATCAAGTTACAGTTGTTAAGCATTGATACTAGCGGGATCACCAAGCTTGAAGAGGTCTAGAAAAATGTAGATAGAAAGTGTCTCAAGGTATGATATTATGGTAGACTAGTTCTGTTTGATATAGTTCATATTTTTGTTTGATCATGAGCTTATGTTTCATTCTTTCTTCTGATCAATCAGCTTGCAATAGCAAACCTCCGAAGTAAGGTGATCAAGAAGCTCGCGAAGTCCAAGTTCACCGAGAAAATTGGTAAGGAATGGGTGTAAAGATAAATATATATTTTGAATTGGGTTTATGAGGGTGGTTTAGGTAGTAAATTTAGATTTAAAGAAATATTAAATCTTTAATTAAAAATAATATAGGTGTAGAAAGTAAGTCGGGTGTAGAAAGAGGTTATATGAGTTCAAATAAAATTTCCTTTTTTTTCATGCAGCTTTCCATTTTTTACATCTCAATCCAATAATACAATATCATGTGTTGAAAAAACTTTCACACATTCTTGTTTTATTATAACCTTGACGCAACGGTAACAATAATAAATCCGTTCCGAATAAGAGTACCTCTACCATCCATGTAGGACAAACAAAGCATAAAAGTGCCTTCCTAATTGGAAAAATTTTAGCAAACGTTTAAAACATGAAAAGTTGACTTTTCAATGGACCATGAGGTTTAGGGTTTAGTGGGTCCATTTACTTGCTGAATGAACTCAATCATCTTTTTTCACTCCCATTAAGAGTTTATGTGATGATAGTAACAGATGAAGCAAAAATGGAAAGCCGCACGAAAAAAAAAAAAAAAAAATCTTGGCTAGGGGCTTCCCTTGTATGTCAAGTCCGCTCAAGACACACACAAGGCGATCACTACCTTCATTCGAGTCCTCCAAAATAGGCCGGTGTGGGATCCAAATGCAGGCTGCCTTCCTTGTTTATGTCTTGGACGGGCGAATGACGTTCCATTCTGCTTGATTGAAATTCCCTTTTACTTGATTGGAAATCCTAAACCCAAACTCATACACCACAAAAACTGCTATAGGAAGCAAAAGAAAAAAATATATATATATATATATTAATGATTAGTCAAAGTACTTGCATATTGTCTAGCTTAGTTTGCTGCACAGCTGAGCTTGGATTCACTTTATTCTCACTGCTCCCCATCTTCTCTGCCTGATAAGTTGAGTGAACACCATAGAACAGATAGAACAATGTTATGAAACATGACCATAAAGCAAACCGTTCGAACGAGAACTTCTTCAGCGTGGTCATGAGGAACACATTAAGGAAGATGGCCAGTGCAGCAGGCCATGGCATGAATGGCATTGACCACCCTATATGATGGCGAACACAAGGAACTGCGTAGTTGAAGAAGGAAATGATGATGATTGTAGACAACCCGAAAAGTGGTGGTCCCCACCGTTGTCGCTTAAACTTCAATGACATGGAAAAGCCAATAGCACTAGACGAGAGGAGGAAGAGGAACAAGAGAGTTTGAAATGGAGAGTTTTTGCTGATGATCACGTATCGCCGGTAAATGAGAGCATTGGCCACAAGGTAGAACACCAAGAGCGTGCCGATGGAGATCATTTCAATCACTATTTCGAGGTCGGTGAAGAGCGCAATTGATGCTGTACAAAGTCCTGAATCATATATATATAGGAGAGAAAAGGATCCATCAGTTTGTTTAGTTTTCTGCTCTCTTTTTTTCTTTGAACTGTTTATAATTTTGTATTATTAAAGGGTGCATTTTCAACACTTCAAAAATCAAATCAAGATCATTACTTGTAAGTGTTTAAGACGTCAATTTTGATCATAAAATTTAACTCAGACAATCGTCTAATCTTCATCGGAGGAATTTTTGTATGTGCCAATTATACATAATTTTAACCTCTCCTTTCTCCTCTATCACATGAAGAAAAGGAAAAAAATTTGAGTACTGGTCCTTAAACTCAAAATCCATGAGTATTGATCTTTAAACTTGTCACAATGGGTAGCAATGATCATTTTTGGGTAAACCCATTCGAACTTTTGTCCCTTATTTTTCCCCTTAAACCATTTATTTTGAACGTGAGTTCTAACCGCGTTACCCAGAAGAACCACTTTTCAACTTTATGACACGTTTCAAAAACAAATACTCACGAATTTGTAATTCAGAGACTAAAGCTTCTGTTGATCCAAAATTTGAGAAACAATGTGCTCCAATTTTCTCAAGAAAAATCTGACATTTCCTTATTGTACGGGAAGAAGATTATAGAGACGTAAAGCAATTATAAGTCATATATACGTGTGTGTGTGCGCGCGCACGCGTGCATGCAAAGATTTAGGAAATTACCCAAGAAAAGGGTGGCATTCAATGGAGTGCCTGTTGAAGGATGGACCTTGGCTAACCATGAGGGCACCAGCCGGGCCCTTCCAATGACACAAAGGTACCTTGCTTGGCCTAACATTGCTACTAAAAGTGAAGCAACAATCCCCAAGCTTGCACCTGCCCCTACCACATTGCTTGCCCATTCCCAACCAATCTCTTTGAATGCATTTGAAAATGCCACATTCTCTGTTATCTGTCAATCCATGCATTTCAACGGTGAGCTCCAAATCTTCATTAGAAATGCAGCAAAAATACTACTCTAAGCTAGACTAAAAAGGGGGAGAATTTAGAACTTAGACGCAGTGTGTTGAAGATAAAAGCACTATCCACCAGAGCAAATCCCCACTTGCGTATAGTACTCCTTTTAAACAAAACGTGTTACTTACCTTGTTGTAAGGAACCATCAAACACAAGGACAAGGCCATGAGGCAATAGAGCACAGAGGTGATGACAACGGAACCAATGATTCCAACTGGCAAGCTCGTCAAAGGGTTTTGGATCTCTTCCGCCATGGTTGAAGCCGAGTCATAGCCGATATAGCTGAAGTAAACCCTAGCTGCCCCATCAAGAACACCTCTAACACCATACGGCGCAATTCCTTTAGGCTTCACCAAGTTTTTGGAAGTCCCATTGCAGAAGCCAGCAATTATAATAAATCCAAAGAAAACTACATGGAAGACTGTCATAACTAGGTTCAAGAGGGAGCTTTCCTTTGTGCTGCAGTGTTAATCCAAAAAGAAATTGATATAAATCACCCATCATTTTCAAGATTCACTCAAACAAATTAAAGATACTATCACTTGTGAACCCAATAACACTTGGGAAATTATTATCAATGTGCAATGATGATAATATACTAGAAAATATATTTGGTAAGTGATAAATTTTTGGACTTTTTTTTGGTGTAAAATACACTAAAAAGTTCTAGCCAGTTGCAAAATGATGAGCACATAGATTCTGAAAATATTACAGTAAAGTAAGAATATAATGGGGTAGAATAATATATTTCAGAAGGAAGGATAAAAATTTAGGGTGCTTTAGACTTTGACCCTTACAATTCATGATTCCTAGATAAAAACCCATTTACATATAAACGTCCAATAAAAGTCCAAATTTAAATCTGTAGCCACATCAGAACACTATTGACCTACTAATACAATTTATTTACACCCATGCTATTTTCCCAAATCCCTAAATTTATTCCAAATTAAAAGTTGTAGAAAAAGTGAAATAAATATATAAATTGTTATATTGCATTAATTGTATCCATATCACACCAAAAATTTACCTTTTTTGTGATATATATATTTTTCATTAATTGGGAAGTAAATTAATTTGTTCCAATTATTAAAAAAAAATTATACTAAATCCGTATTATATATTTTGAATTAAATAACACTTCTCTAACTTGTAGGTAAATTATTTTTCATGTATTGTTACATATATTAGGCACGTTTTAATGTTGTATAAACATAGCTATGACATAAATATTTTTCAATATAATACATCAAATTATATTTCTTCTTGTTATGGGTAAATTATTCTCCATGTATTAGTGAAAAAAAGATATTATATTACACACGGGGTATAGTTTTTTGTAGGTAAATTATTGGAAATAATTTGTAGGTAGGTAAATTAATTTGTTCCAATTATATAAAAATATATATATACTACACCTAGATTATATATATATATATATATATATATATATGCATTTTTTTTTTGAGAAAACCTAGATTATATATTTTGAATTAAATAAAATTTTTGTATACATGGTAGGTAAATTATTTTTCATGAATTATTACATATATTAGCCTACTAGGGACTTTTTTTGGTAAAAATATATAAAGTAATATGTATATGATTGTTTGTAGGTAAAAGATAAAATCAAAAGCATGATCCAATTCCTAATTTTATGCAATATTTGTTGTTGGTATACAATATTTTGCATCATTGGAAATGAACATTTCAAATAGTAGGTAGGTAAATTAATATGGTCTGCTTATATAAACACACACACATACATATATATATATATATATATATATATATTTATACACATTTTGAATCAAATAACATTTTTGTACATGGTAGGTAAATTACTTTTTTTTTATTTTATGTATTATTACATATATTAGGGTTTTTTTTTTGGTAAAATATATATATATATATAAACTCATAATGCCAGATACATAAAATTAAGCCAACAATTCTCATATTTGATATTAATATGCAATGAATTTTTTTTAACATTAATGTCTTATTTTTCTTTTTGAAAAATCATTAACTCTCTCCTTACAATTTGCATGGAATTAATTGTGCACATCAAATATGCAATAAGGGTATTTTAGGCATTTAAAAATGTAAAATGTGTAAAGTAATATGTAATTAATGAATTCACTTAGGTGGATCCTAGTCACTGGGTTCTTTTTGAGTAAAAAAATTATGTCAGGTTTTATATGGAAAAAAAAATTAAATTTGATGGATTAAAGTCATATTTTCAGAAAAAAATTATAGGAAGAGATGTAACCTATGGCAAAGGCAGAGAGTGAGAAGAAGAATAAGAGCAACAGCCGGGAAGTCCAACATATCATATCCCTTTACCAAACCATTCACTTCTACCCTCCACGTCCTTGGATTTTCTCCAAATGCAGAGGATAAATACTCAGTAAAGCTTCTGGCAACAGCCGCGTTCGACAATACGTACTCCATGAGTATATTAGCCCCAGCAAAGTAACCAACAAATTCTCCTTCATATAGAAATGAAGGTAATTAACAAAGAAGAAAACGAAGAAATATTGACTATATATATTTTAGCTAGTATCATGGACCTAGATAATTACTTAAATGTTCAAACGTATGTACGTACCGAAGGTCAATCGGATATAACTAAAGGCACCACCGGCAACTGGGATTTGGACAGAAAATTCAGCGTAACACAAGGAAGAAAGTAGGGCTGATATTCCTGCAACGATATAGGAAATGAACACGGAAGGGCCAGCAGTCTGACGGGCGACAGGGCCAGTTGTGACAAAGACTCCAACACCAAGCATTCCCCCAACGCCAAGGGCCACCAGATCATACCACTTGAGTTTCCTTTTCATGTCTGCCCCTGACCTTTGCCTCACTTGGTTCAGCTCTTCGTCTGGGGTCCACGTTGCAAGCATTCTCCTCCTAAGCCTGTGGGGTGTTTGGGACAGCGAATGAAGATACTTGAAGAAGCAAATGGCGGCGGCAGCGGTGGTGCTGTTGCTGGGTGCTGTACTTTGGCTGGTGGTGGTAGCCATGCTTTTTGTGCTACAACTTACAATTAGTTAAGTGCTTTGGCTTCCATGGGACAGCTGGGTATTAAGGGTTTAAATATGCATTTGGGAAATGGTCTATTGCTTGATTCTTTCACTAAAGGTCGAAATGTGAGAACCCAAATGAGTGTCCCAACCTTTAGTGAAAGCATGCACCAAGTTTTCCATGGACTTATTAAAATGACCGTTAAACCCTCCTCTCTCTCTCTCTCTCTCTCTCTCTCTCTCTCTCTCTCTAATAGGCACACACGTCCAGTACACTAGACTACATCTAGACACACACACACACGCAAACATCTTTTGAGTGTCCCAATAAGTAGTCCCCAAAGATCTGGTTCTTTGTGTTATAGGAGAGACGACAACAATAACAAAGTTCTATCTCACTAAATGGACTCAATTGTATAAATCCTAGAATGTCATTATGTTCAGTTTTGCGTCAAGTCTTCCGTTAGCTCCAAGTACTTATGTTTTTCTTAAAGTCTTCAAAGTCTTCCTAAGTCTTTCTTTACCTCTTTTACCTTGATTCTCTATCTCACAATCACATGTAGAAAAAAGCGCAAGCATTTTGAAATGAGGAATCATGCCAAATGTGAAACATGAAGAGGAACTTTGACCCAATATATCTTTTGGAATTTCCTCATCACCAGAAACTTTGAGAAGATGTGACAAGCATCCATTCGAATACTTTGTTAAAGCAGCTAAAGCCTAAAGGTTTCCTTCCTCTCACAGTCTCTGTGTCAAGAATAATTGGACTTGATTCATCAACACGATATAAACTAATATGTCTTTCACTATAGCTGCCGATCGACACAGTTGTAATGATCAACACCCAATAGATACCCATGTATTTTGGTGCAAAACAAGTGTGTGTTAGTGAAGATCTGATTGGTCAATATCCCTTCTTGATTTTATTTCAAGGTTCTGATCGATATGCCCGACCATAATGATCAACTCCAGAATGATGTAGTGGAGGTATATGTTTGGTGTCAATTTAAAATTATGTTTAAGGCGCCAAACGAGTGGTAGCCTGTCATATATAGAGAAAGAAGCTTTTAAAAGTTATCTCGATAGTGCTTTAAATATTAAAAAAAAAAAAAAAAAATTAGAGAGATCACATTAATATTGTATTGCATTGGTGTATCTTCTTATATGTCAAGTAATGTGTAAATATAAGTGAATTATTAAGTTTATCTAGATAGTGCTTTAAATATAAGTGAAAAAAGCTAGGAAGAATATCACATTATTGTACTACATCGGTATATCATCTGATATGTCAAGTAATATGTACATACATGTGAATTATTGAGTTTATCTCGATAATGCTTTAAATAAAAAAAATTAAAAAAAAAGGCCAGGTAGATCATATTATTGTACTACATTGGTATATTATCTGATATGTTAAGTAATGTGTACATACATATAAATTATTGAGTGTCTCATTAATGTTAATTATATGATTTGTCACATTATGAGGTACAAAATGTGACCTCCCAACTGTTACTCTTACACGTATTGTTATCTTTAGTTCTGCATTAAGTACAATACACGACCATGGCCCTCTCCATTCATAATTTTCAATTGTTGAGGTACTGATCCATTATAACAAGTTTAAGCTTTGATGTTAAGCAGATGGCTTTGTGCAGAATCATAGCATATACCTTTCAAGCAATAAAACATGAATTTAATTTCATCCGGTAATCCATGCAGACTGAATCAACAAATGATTCAAATTATCGTGCTTGAGCTTAATCGGCACCATACTGCCTATATTCTTGATCATAAGAGAAGTGATTGAATTCGATCAATTAGGGTTCGAACCAAAAAAATTGGTGATAACTGGATACGGATCAATTATAGATGAAGATTCAGAAGTAAAAGCCATGAGATCAGATAAGAGAGAAATTAGAAACAAACTGTTAGGATCGCAAGAAAGTTACAGAAGCGATAAAGAAATCTTGAAGGATCAAGGCGGAAGGTAGTGGCGATGGATACCATAATAGAAATTGATTTTCCCATTTCAAGAAATGATAATTACAACTCAGTTTACATACACTTCTCTAAATTCACTCAACACATAATTAGTTAATTACGCCAACTACACTAAGATAACAGCTCTAACAATCTTGGCTTAAGTTGTTGAGTTGTTGAATGTTGATAGTTGTTGACTTCATATTCTGTGATGATTTGGCAGATTGAGATGTAGTCTCTTTACAAACAAACTTGCAAATTAATTGAATCGATTGGTAAATGAAATTCAAGCATCTTGAGCATAGCCTATATATATGACTAACAATCATTCGTCCATTTCTCATTAGCTTTCAAAATTTGGCTTGCTGCTACACTTTAATCAATTTTTCTCAGATATATATATATATATATATATCTTATAGCTCTAAGTAGCTAGGGTTTACAATTCAGGGATGTATTAGGCCATTACTTTAGCAATTTCTTAGAAGGTATATTCTACGTAGTGGATTAATTTAATCCAACTCCATGCCTAGCTATTATATACTTGGAATAAAGCAAAATGCTTCTGAATCCTGATCATCTTAAGGTTGTGAGAATTGGTTCACTTCAACCTATAGGAATCCAAGAAATTACTTTGCTAGCAACCCAAAAAGGCTTTTATGTAACGTAGCTTTCAGTAACAGAGAGAAAGTAGATGCATGAGAATCTGTTTTAGCAGTTAAGAAAATTGTAAAACATAGATACATGCACTAGTGTTCTAGTGGTGCCTAGATATAATCACAATGTGAAGATAATATCTTGTTGTCTCTTACAGTAACAAGTAAAAAACAGAATTCTCTTTTATGCGTATCAAATCCAATATACTAGTTAGGAGCATAGGCATTGAGGATAATGAGGAAGGGAATTAGGATCCACTTTAAATCAGAACTATAATCTTTTGAAAATCATGGGTCGAAAGCTAGAGAATATTTGGTTGGGAATAAATGGTCCATGCTGATCCGTTTTATAGGCCAATTTGCAGTCGACGTCTACATGCATATGCATGGATTTCGTGAGGGTGGATGGTCAAAAGTGGTGTTGGAGGTTCGTTCCAAAGTCAACCATTACCACAAAAAATTAGGGCTCTGGTATCGTGCATGGTGCATATATAACCACTAGACTCAAATCTAATTGGCACGAATACAGTGTATTTAAAACTCACAAGTCTTTTTTGTGTAGCATTGTGTTTTATATTTGATGCATTATTTGTTAATTTAAGGTTTGTTGAAGTTTCAAATGCAACTCTTACGCTTTAATATATATATATATATATATATAGCAAAGCTATCATCACTTTATATTTTCTGTATAGATATTTATACATACATACATACATACATATATATATATATATATATATATTTCTCTAAACTAAAATCCTTGGCTGAGTTGGCTCATTCAGCTGCTTCTGCAACCTGCTATAGTACGTGATAGTTACTCGGAGGTAGATTGTTTCCCCTCCCATTTCCATACTCTTCTCATACCCTTCTATTTGTGTGGTCACGGTTAAGCTACCTCAATATTTTATATTCATATTACTTTTTGTTTTATTATTTCTATAAAAAATTAATATAAAATATTAACGTGGCTTAACCGTGATCACACATCACAGGAGGACACGGATAGAGTATGGAAATGGAAGAGCAGACAATCCACCTTCTCCTAGTTACTTCTGAATTAGCCTGCCCCATGTGTGCACATGTCAGTCTTTAAAAAAGTCGGATTGACTAAATACAGTTTGCCTTTCAGTTTCAATATTCTAAAGCATTTGGAGATATACATTGTTTGGAGTACGAACTGAGATGAAAGAGAGATTAGGGAACAATTTGTGGCACTAAGATTAATTGGATATTATAATAACACACAACACATTGTAGTAGGCATATTCAGAAAATAATTAGAATTAGAATTAAGAAGAGCATTTGGACAATGGAATTTTTCTTATGCTTTTCAATGTGATTGGTAGTTAAATTGCACTCAGAATGGTGGTTGGAAGCAGTGGGATTGAGCTTTTTGCTTTTGATTACTTTCGTAAGTGGGTCACCATTCCATTGACCTCTCATTGCTCACCTCTTCTCCATATATAGAGTAGTTATAGTTTTGATGCCAAAGAAACCTTCATTTATTGGGTCCTTTATACATGAAAAGTCTTTAATTTATACACACCATAAGAGACAATATATAATATATAGTAACAAAAAGGTGGAGAAAAAGAATAGTGTACAGTCGCCTGTGGAGGAACAAAATGCCTTTCTTTGAGGGAAGGAATCAACTTGGATAACCCTTAATTGCATAGTGCCTTTTGGGTAGGCCTAGCAAACGGGTTGTGTCTGTCGTGTTCCTGTCGTTTTCGTGTAACACATGTTATCTTAACGGGTCATGTCGTGTCACACCTGTTATCTTAACGGGTCCTTAACAGGTCAGGTTACTTTACCCAACAGGTAAAGTGACCCGACCCGTTAGACCCGTTATGACCCGTTAAGAAAAATGTTTTTTTTTTTTTCTTAAACTTGCACATACTACACATTGCCACATAAATATTACTTCAAAACATTAAAGCACATTTGTCATTTAAGTATTACATCTACACTTGAAAATAAGAGCCTAATAAACAAACATCCATACACTACTAGTTTATTACAAAATATTAAATGTGCAAGGATATACAAAATGAAAGAGTTTTTGTTTTCAATTGTGAAGCTTTTCTCTAAAGTTTAAACCTTGTCAATGGAATTCAAAGCTTGAATGTAATTCCTTTTACAAAATCCTCAATTTTCATCGATCATCATGACATAAGATTTTGTGGTATCCACTTGTGTAAATATTTTAAATTGAAGATCGAATTCATTCATTGTATTCATATGGGGTCAAGGAGTGTAGCTGTAAAATATCAACAAAATCAAAGTTAAAATAACCGTTAAATCATGATCTTTCGTTGATAACCGTTGAAATGTTTTGTCCCTTTACTTGATCTCTGAATGTTTGTTTTTTTGCGATTTTTGGCATATGCGATCTTGAAGCATATACAAACAAGTTTGACGATTGGATCGTTGAAATTATTTTCATAGAATGCGTATCACATCAAAACGATAAATTCACTAACACCTAGAGTTCATTTATACTT